TTGCTGGTATAACAATTCTATCTACATCAATAATGAATCCAACTTTGTGATAATGTGCTTGTATAACAGCTGTCCCTACATAATAATGTATCCTAAAATCGAAAATTTGCTGGTATAACAATTCTATCTACATCAATAATGAATCCAACTTTGTGATAATGTGCTTGTATAACAGCTGTCCCTACATAATAATGTATCCTAAAATCGAAAATTTGCTGGTATAACAATTCTATCTACATCAATAATGAATCCAACTTTGTGATAATGTGCTTGTATAACAGCTGTCCCTACATAATAATGAAACCTAATTTTTAAAATTTGCTAGTATACAAATTGTACCAACATGAATTTGTGATAATTTGCTTATGTAATATTATTACAATTTATTTAAATACGGCATAAGAGATCTCAACAAGATTTCTCGTATATCGTTTTATTCAATAAAATGTTTCTGTACAATTTTTATAGTAAATCTTATTATCATAATCCATAAGTTCTTAACTACCATCCAAGTCTAGAATGCTAAAATAAGTATAAGCAATATGTAATCATTTAAGAAAACTTTTTTTAATGGAACAAACTGCATTAAAAAGCTAACCTGTATAAAAAAAGATATCTGGAAAACAAATGGAACAAGCAAATATTTTCAAAACACTTTACAGAACACAAAAACTCACCTTAAGTCGACATTTGAGGAAAAAATTGTACTTCTGGTGGTGAAGTCTGCTGAATAGGGTGACTTTCTGAGAGCACGAAGTACACACTGAAAACTGGGTGACTTTGGGCTTGGTATTTTCTGGATTAAGTTGGTGACCAAGAGTGGTCTGATCATACACCTGTCCATAGAACTGCACAAGTTGGTCACTCGATACATTCTGACAGACCTTTGAGAAATGGGAAAATAAAAACTAAATATTGAACTACAACATGACTCTACTGTGAGAATGCATTCTACAAATCCCTAAGTATAAACACAGCATAATAGTGCCTTAATGCCTAGGATATGCTTTATTTTCTGCCTAATTGTAGTAATACTTGATTTTCCATCCATGAAAAGTATTAACTTAAAACAAATACTGTGACTACACCAGTTACAAAGCATTTAATAACCCCTTATCGATAAATATTACTTTCTTTTTTTTCAGCTTCCTTCTCAGAAAATAAGCTTCCTCGTGCAATCTCATTTTTGATCATTCCTGTAACTAAGAACTTATCCCACCATTATTAATTTTAGTTAGTAATCAAATCAAGCACTCTAGCTACAAAACTTGTAATACTGAGAAATTTTGCAGTGCAAGATCTAGTAATATATAATAAATCATAAAAATAACAAATCATATCCAATTACAAGCAATGTGCCCTCTAAGTTTAGATCATCAACCCTATCGAATCATTAGGCCACTTTGCAATGCTACCAGCTGGTTATTTGGGTTTTAGGACTATTAATTGCCAAGTCATTAAGGCCTTCAACATGTTGAGACTCCTCATCATTAACTAAGATGTGTGTGGCTAGAATAATTAAGTGTGCAGTATATGATTGGTTGTTGTGCAGCTTAGAGGGAACAATGATTACAAGGCCTAGTGGTTTTTCCTCACAGCAACTATTATTCAATTCTTTTTACTTATGTTCTTTCTTGAAATTTCACACAAGTATTTTGAGTTTCCAGTTTCATATTCAATTTTCAAGTCTACTGTTTTGGGAAATTACTGTTTTTATAATTCAGCAGGTGATTCAGGCTAACTTAGAATATGATTAGTCCTACAAAAGTAGAATCTTTTAGATATACATAGCCATAGTGTTCATCACCACTATTTTCTCATTCTCAAGTAAAATAGTTTCTGGTATATATTTTGGACAAAAACAGTTTAAGGTTATGAAATGTTTTAAGAATATAATTATAATTTTATTTTGAATAGTGAAATATGTTTCCAACGTTACAGAGTAACTGTTACGGTATCAACAGAACCAAAATAATATCTTCAGTATAGGAATCTGCCTACGTCATACACCTACTGACTTTCCTGGAAGGAAAAAGTGTATACTAAACATGTTTAATAGAATAGTTACTTCTACTATAAAATATTTGGTACAAAACATGAGTATATTAATGAGAACAATCATAAATAAAGCACCTAGTAGGCTCCTGGTTTTCCATTTTAACCCTTTCATTACATGTAGGCCAAAAAAAGTACACATCCTGACCTTTCACAGAGTTACTTTAAAATTTAATTAAACTACCTTATTGTAAGTGTATACATATAAATTTGATATCTAAAAATAGTTAATAAATCAAATTTTAATATTATATAAAAGTTTTAATTTCTTAGTTTTATAATGAAATATTTAAATAAATCTTTAATTTCAACTGGTATGAGAATTGTAGCATTTGTTCTCTATTTATTTTCCCTACTCTTATTATTCACCACCCCTCTATGAAGTACATAATTCAACAAAAATTGCTCATTATAATAGTAATATTACTTATGCAGTCTAATTTTTATAGCCTCAACTTTCAATCTTCTTTATTTGGAAAGTTATAAACTACAAGATCAGACCCATTTGCTACATCCACTTTCACAATTTGTCAATAATTCTCTCTTGATGTTTTAAATTATATCATTTATAGTCAACTGAAAGACATAGTTTAATCTACAAATAATGTTTAACTTGGTCCCAGGGACTGACCTCGTAACCATTTTGTGCTTGTTATAGTTTTCATGCAATAACTTTTAAATTAATAAGCATATCTTCATGACATTTTGCAGATTATCAGTAAACATTAGAAAGACTTTCATACACAAAATAATAGATTATTTTATTAATTTATAAAATTTATTAAGTAATGTTTTTCTCATGCCTTTTGTTGACTATCCAACATGCAAAGTAATTTTGATTTTAAGATTAAAAATACTTTTATACATAAGAAAATTTTCAAATTTCACATGCAAAATCTTTATCACCTCCAGATAATAATTAATTGTTTTAAGAAAAACTATATATTTTATCTATTACTTTCACTATTGGATGTCTGTACGGGTTCAGTCAATTTGACAGACCTCATAACAAACATAAAAAATTAGGAAATAAATATAAATTATGCTTTTTTCTTTCTAGAATGACTACAAATTATAACACAAAAACGCAAATGTTTAGTCTAAATAGCTTAAATCTTATAACATTATACATTTATATATATATTTATTATTTTTATTATATTGACCTTTTCAGCCGTGCCTGGCTAATAATACAAAAGATGCAATGATGCAGCACACGTGCACTCATGTTACCATATCCAAGAGTATGAAACTGGCTTTTACAAAGTGCCCTGTCTTGGCTATCTTTTAATAGACTAGTATTTTGTAAGATACAGTCACATTTCAGTTATAATACATTATATATGTACATACATTCTTACTATATATAAATAAGTTACTAAATTTATTTTTCTTAAAACATAGAACAGTAAATAAAGAAGTATAGCAAACAATTATCTCCTCTAGTTATGAACTTTGTACTCGTTTGCTGCTTGCCATAGGTTGCTAAGCCTTTAAAAATTTCACATGCGGAGGATGTGAAAAGAAATAATTTTTTTAGGTTTTATATATACATTTTGAAATAACCAAAAATCATAAATTACTATATCAATACCACAGAATTCCACTATAATATATTTTACTTTCCTGCTTCAAATCTACATTAAAAGAAAGAGTTTGTCACCCAAATATTTTTAAAAGCTGAGAAAGCCACTGGGATACATTCTGAGCTTTTGATTGGTTATTCACATGTCAGAGTCAGAAGTAGGTGTAAATAAGCATTTCCAAAAATAGAAAGAGGCGGGCATGGCCACTTTGTTTGAGTCAGTAAATGTAGCAATATCTCAGCAAACAGAAAAGATAGGAGGTTCTTATGCTATATTGTAGCTTGTCAATGTCAGTAATTTGAGTTCCTAATTCGTAAGAAACTATAGACTTTATATTTGGACATCACAAACATCTAATTTGAACCAATGCTGCATTCAACATACTACATGACAAACACAAATCGATATTTAGGTGTGTTTTTTTTAATAGCTGCTTTTAAAGTATAAAATTAACTAATGTATAGTACTAAAATTTGGATTATAATCTACAATTTGATATCAAACTCATTGAGATGAATTCATAAAATAGTAGTGAAATAAAATTTAGGTGACATGGCCTTTGACCCAAGTTCATAGGGTTAATGCTAAATTATCCCTTTCGAGAGAGAAGCCACAGGTGAAAGGCCATGTCATCTCGTTTGTTCACTCGCATGCAAAATTTTATTGAACTAATATTTCATGAATTAATGTCAATAACTTTGGTTTAAAAGTGTATATTATAATTCAAATTTTAGTACTATAT